GCAGAGGTTTGTCCTTCCATGAGGGTTCCTGCTCTTCCTTCCCTAGTTCCTCTGGTTTCTGCTGTCTGAGGTGTTCACTAAGCACGTCATCACTCGGGGCCATCTTCCTGATGTATTCATGGATCTTTGCTGTTTCACCCTGGATAGTGGCTTTGATGCTCACTAATCCTTGGCCTCCTTCCTTCCGCTTAGTGTACAGTCTCAGGATGCTGGACTTGGGGTGAAGGCCACCGTGCATTGTAAGGAGCTTCCTTGTCTTGATGTCAGTGGCCTCTATCTCCTCCTTCGGCCGGCTTATTATGCCAGCGGGGTACCTGATGACTGACAGGGCGTAGGTGTTAATCGCCCGGACTTTGTTCTTCCCATTCAGCTGGCTTCTCAGGACTTGCCTTACTCTCTGCAGGTACTTGGTGGTTGCTGCTTTCCTTGCAGCCTCTTCATGGTTCCCATTTGCCTGTGGGATCCCAAGGTACTTGTAGTTGTTGTCATAAATAAATAAATAACGTGTTTGAAGACTTCCAGTCAAAATATCCCTGCAGGCAGATCAAAGTAGTCTTCAGCCCAGTGTAACCGGCTCATCTTGGTGTCAGTATCACTGTAAGAAGGAAGGTTATTTGTGTAAAGACTTCAAAGGGATTCCATCACTACAATGAAAACAAGACAGACACAAAACCAGAGAATTAGCAGGACTGAGAGAAGCTGGGAGACAACACTTCTAGACAATTTTTTACTTGATTTATTCAAACTTGTGCTAAATCTTAGTTAATGCAGCTTTAAATATATTTCTGAGATGAAAACATTCCAAATAAACAAACTAAATACAGTGCAAACTCTACTTTCTATTTTCATAATTTCATTCAATGCAGCAAATAACACATTGTTAAACTTGGCACTGCATCTCTGTAATGCCCCAGTTAGTGATTTTGTTTATTTTTCTTATTCACAAATGCTATGATAAGACAAAAACAACCATGAATGTAAAGGTCAAAGGTCAACGCGTTTATTTGACATATGCAGTTAGGAAACATGTTTCCCTGTACAATGAAATTCTTACTTTGCCGTCCACATGAATGCCACATAATACAAGTGAAATATAAAGTAGATGAGCAATAAGACAAATCTAAGACTACGTTCACACTGCAGGTCTTAATGCTCAGATCGGATTTTTTGCCGAAATCCGATTTTTTTGCGCTGTTGTTCACACTGTCATTTAAATGTGACTGCCATCTGTCTCATGTGTGAACGGTATACGGCCCTGAGGTGACCCGCATGCGCAGTGGCCGTTCAGACTGAAGTCGCATTGCAAAACATCGGATATGTGTCTGATTTAGGACCACATATGAAAGTGGCCTGGGCCGGATTAAAAAAAAATCGGATTTGTGCTGTTCACACTGTCATAAGGAAATCGGATATGGGTCACATTTGGGCAAAAAGATTGGATTTGAGTCACTTCAGCCTGCAGTGTGAACGTGGCCTAAGGCACTTTAAAGGTGAGCCATAGGGACAGTGACAAATGAAAACCTGACAAAAACCATCAGTGTTGTTTATAGCAGCTGTGTTTATCCAAAAAGCTCTGATAAAATTCCTATACACTACCTGCCTAGCACCAAGCACTCAGTTAAGAAAACAGCATTTAGAGGTTAAAGAGCCAGATCAGATCCTGCAGGTCGTGATGCTGGTTATTTACCAGTTCCTAGGTTAAAAAGAAAGTTCACAGGAGGAAAAAACCACTAATTTTGTTAATGATGACTCAGTGCCATTATGTGTCCCAGTGATCCAGCATGTACAGCACCAGGATGCTGAAAGCAGCTCACATAACTGAAATTGATTTGTCTTGAATGTCATCACAGTCAACCACACCTGTTTTTCCTGCTATGACAAACGAAACAAACTGCTTCAAACCATCCTTTTCTTCTCCGCTTAGTTTCACAGGCAGGCTAACTATTCAACTTTTTCAATGTCCTAGTCAGAACCCTGCTTTTATATTAATATTCCTACCAATATATTTGGGTTTCTTCTTGTGCCCTTTTACCTGCCTTGCCTTATATGTTGAGTTCTGTTGCTCTTTTTTTTTTTTTTTTTTTTTTTTTTTAAGAGCTTTACACCTGTATTACTTTTCTTTTCAAGCTGACTGAAGTGTGGTGATGATTTATCACTATGAAAACCACCTCTCATATTACACATTATTTCAGTAATAAACAAAAGGCAATGATAAATTTGCAGTTCTAAAAGATAAAAAAAAAAAAAGATGAACACAGCACATTGTACTTAAAAATACTTCAATTCTAAGCCTTTTAGCACCAACCACCACATTTATAGACCAGTCATTTCTCTGTGGTGTGGCTCTTCATGTGAAGTCTAATGTATGTCTTTCGGTAGAAGCCTTTACCACACACCTCACAGCGGTGTGGTTTGTCCCCGGTGTGTGTGCTACTGTGCTGTTTCAGACTGGAGTGGTCACTGAAACACCGACCGCAGATGTTACACAGGTAAGGTTTCTCTCCCGTGTGTGTCCTGATGTGTCGCATCATGTTATGTCGGCAGTTGAAGGATTTCCCACACTCACTGCACAGAAACGGCTTCTCCCCCGTATGGATCCTTATGTGCATCTCCAGGTTTGGCTGACTGTCGAAGCACTTGCCGCATACTTCACAAATCTTCCCGTTTTTGTGAGTTTTCAGGTGAATTTTTAGGCTTTCCTCTGAATCGAAATGTATCCCACAAACGCCGCAGAGGTCTGTGGCATGACTTCTGGCGTGATTCACCAGAGAAACCATGGAGTGGAACATTTTCCCGCACACTTCACATATAGTTCGAGTCTGCTGTTTTTTTAGTGATGAAGTTTTTATCCTCTTCTCAGTGGTGTCATTACCATTTTCAGTATCATTTGTACAAGTATTATTTGGATCGAGGTTCTTTTTGGGGACATGAATTCGCAGGTGACGTTTCAATGTGGAATAGTCATTGAAGCATTTGCCACAGACGGTGCAGGTATACGGCTTCTCCCCTGTGTGTATCCTGATGTGTCGCATCATGTTGTGGCGACAATTGAAAGATTTGCCACATTCACTGCAATTAAACGGTTTCTCTCCCGTGTGAACCCTCATGTGTGTTTCCAAAGAGCTAGAGGCCCCGAAACATTTCCCACAAACGCTGCAGATTTCAGCTTTCACATGTGTTTTCAGGTGAACTTGAAAGCTCTCTTCGGTCTTGAAACATTCCCCACACACACCGCAGACATCCTTAGGGTGAACCTCCATGTGATTCACCAAAGAGACATTAGCGTGGAATGATTTCCCACAGACTTTACAGCAGATTCGCGACTTTGTTTTTTTGGTGGGATGCAGTTTTGGGGCCATGGGTAGACGAGGCCCTTTCTTCTTTTTCCACTTGCCCTTGCTGTTGCTGCTGTCGCTCTGAGATCCCTCGCTGGCCCTCCACTCCTCGTCACTGTCGTGCTCTGCTTCAGAACAGCTGGAGGACGCCCCATCATCACCCTGTACCTTCATCTGGTCCTGTTCTGCTGAAGTGCTCGGCAAAGGATCTCCTTCTCTTTTTGTGCTCTGAAAGCTGGACTGAAGCTGATCGAGCTCGTTCTTCACATATGGAGGATTGAAGATGAACCTGATGGTGCTGTCCTCCTCCAGCTCTTCAACCTGTTCCACATCCTGGCTGCTGTGGAGCTCCTGCTGGCTCTGCTCAGTCTGGGGGGGCTCCTGGTCATCATGGTCCAGACCAGAGCTCCAGTCCGACTTGCATTGCACTTCCTGCGGCTGATCAGAGGTGAAGTCTTCATCCCAGACAGACAGGTCCAGCTGTGGTTGGTCTGCAGAAAACAGAAATATTCCTCTGAAAACTACATATATTGCAATAATAAAGAGTAACAGATAAACAGAATACCAATCACAATACATCAAACAGGCTCAATTAAAGAGCTATTGAATCATTTATAATCAGAATATGCAAAGTGGGATTTGTTTATCTCTTGCAACTTTACAGTAGTGTAACAGCAAAAATTATTTTCACAACTTCTACTAATTGCTTTTCTAAGTAATGATCGTTTTGTCCACGAAAACTGACTGTATCCTTAAATTGCTTATTTTATCTAACCAATAGTCCAAAACCCAATGATATATATTTTTTTAAATGGCTGAGTATTGCATTAGCTAAAAAACACTTCTAGGCTCAAAAACACAGCAGTCAGTGCATCAAATTTAGCTATCAATTATTTCTGATGTCTGATTAAACGAAACCAGTGGGTAGCTGGGCAGCTAAAATGATAACAGTACTTCTGACACCACTTATCCAAACGTTGGCTAATTTTCAGCAGTAACGTTAAAGTTATGGAGATAAAATACTATCAAAAATGTTACAAATGCGTGTTTAACGTTTTGTCTGTAACAAGCGATTTCTGTGTGTGTGTCATGAGGATCACAAATGCGTGCTGCGCAATCTGCACTTATAAAGCCATTTGTTTGTGTGTGTCATGCTGTTCACAAATGCATGCTGTACAAACTGCACATAAAACACATTTTACAAATGCTTAAAAACGATTTTTTTGTGTGCAGTTCTTCAGAAAGTACGTATGCACGGTGCGTTTAAGGACACATGGAAAACTCGGACATCTGAGTTTCCAAACCTGTTTCCCAAACAAAAGTATTTACACAATATGTGCATCACTAAAATATGCCTTACTGGAAAAACTATAAACTCTGCAGGGCAGAACATTAACTTTAGCTTCATAACTTCTAAATTCTAAATATATAAAAATTTAGAACATGCACCACAAACTGCAGGCAACTGGAATATTCTCTGTTAAAACGTGTTATGTATTAGATATTTTTGTTTATTTTATGTAATGTCCATTTGGTATAGCATTGTGTAAATACTTTTGTTTGGGAAACAGGTTTGGAAACTCAGATGTCCGAGTGTTCCACGTGTCCTTAAACGCACCGTGAATTCGTGGATTTTTGAGAGTGCGGAAAAACACTCTCAAAAATCCGTGTGTGTGCGGAAGGTGGTTCTTGTGTATTAGACGATCCACGCATGCGTAGGTAACAATGTGTACGTACTTTCTAAAGAACTGCACACAAAAAAATCGATTTTAAGTATTTGTAAAATGTGTTTTATGTGCAGTTTGTACAGCATGCATTTGTGAACAGCATGGCACACACACACACATCGCTTGTTACAGACAAAACGTTAAACACGCATTTGTAACATTTTTGATAGTATTTTATCTCCATATAAAGTGGCTATTGACGGGACTCAAGACAACAGTAACATAGTCGGAGTCAACCATTAAACAGACAACGCATGCACGTGATTCACAAACCTGAATGTTTGTTTATCTGTATTTGAGGTTTTGGGGCTGTCTGTAGCATCCTACGTTGGCGGCGGATCTCCCGTTTGGAGAGCAGAATCTCCTCTTCGTATTCCGCTATGGTTTTTTTAACAGCCTCGAAGATCTCCTCGGCGGCCGCAGACAACCGCTCGTTAACGAGCACTCTGAGTAGCTCGGTGCGGGACATGGTGCAAGCGAGCGGACACTCAGTGGTGTTAACAGGCCAAATCCGATATATATGAAGCGTATTGTATTATATAGTCGTTAACTGTTGTGAAAAAAGTAGCTCGACGTGCACCCCATGATTGTTGTTAAGTTAACGCTTACATTCACCTAACATCAAATACTTCCGGTCACATAGTTCTTATTCTTCTTCGACTGTTTTGTAATGGAGGTTGGCAACCAGCTTTAGGTGCATGACCGCCACCTTCCAGACTGGAGTGTGGATCAGAACGGCCCCTACCTACCACCACACCATGATAACCCCACTCAGTTCACCTTATCTTATCTTGTGTAACCCTGTGCTCTCTATAAACCTAATAAGTGCTGTGTATCCTACATCCCCTGACCTTTGTCCCAACACCTGCGGTAAACTAAAGTACATTCCACCTCTTAAAACGGTATGTTTTAATAATTCCCTCTCCCATCTGAACCTGGGACAGCTCATTAAAACATGTTCCACTGTTTCTTGTACTCTACACATCTCACATTCCCCTGTAGTGTGTATCTTGATTAACTTCAATGTACTATTTAAACCAAATCTCAATCTCGATACCTTATCTTCATCCTTCCTATTTCCAGTACTTCCTCTCATTTCTCCTACTTTCCTTTGAATGTTATAATAGAACTGACCTTTGCCATCTTTATCCCACAGTTCTTGCCATTTCTCTTTCAGTTTCCTTTTAATCAAACTCTTAACCTCAGCCTTACTATAGCTTACTT